AACGCAGAGTTCACCTCTGCGTCTCAGATGCCAAAACTCAGAGTTCACCTCTGCGTCAGATGCCAAAACGCAGAGTTCACCTCTGCGTCAGATGCCAAAACGCAGAGTTCACCTCTGCGTCAGATGCCAAAACTCAGAGTTCACCTCAGCGTCAGATGCCAAAACGCAGAGTTCACCTCTGCGTCTCAGATGTCAAAACGCGGAATTCATCTCTGCGTCCCAACTGTGCGTCTCCAATTTACAGAACGCGTGCGGCCTGTGCGTTTCCAATCTCTAGCAGAGATTTCCTCAAGCCTTAGGCGCAGAGTTAAGACCCAGAACGCCAAGTTAGGCGTTTGACTTGTTCAAACACAAGTTGAACGGCTTAACAACCGTTTATCCCACGATCTGAGGGATTTCTGCCCCATTTAGGAGCGGATTAAGGGGGTATTTACCACCATTAATCCCCTATAAATAGTGGGAAACTCAACTGAGTTCAGGGCTTGCTTCTTTTTTTAATCCTTCTTTTTGGGGGGAGCAAAGAAGAGATCTTCGGCTAGCTTTGGGATTGGATTTTCTCTCATCAACAAAGGGAAATTCGGTCAAGGGCTGGCATTTTCGGATCTGGGACTTGGCAGCAAAGGGAGAGATCGGCATTCATCCTTTGGAGCATTCTTTGGAGCCTTCGGCCTTGGCTTGAGAACCGATTCTCGGTTCAAATCAACTCTTTTTCAAGAGTTTCAAACTCGATCAGAGTTATCAACTCATCAAGAGTTTTAGACTTGCCACGCAAGTTCTCCACAGCATCAAATCGTGAGGAGAAGACCACGTTTCAGTGAATCAAGACGTTCGGATCGTCAACGAGAAGCAAACTCGACGCGAGCATTCGAGGGAGGCATCTCATCGCCATCATGAAGAACCCAGAATTAAACAAAGGGGAGAATCAAATTTATTCTCCTCTCTTTTATAATCGGAATCCAAATTGTAATTGATTTTGAGAGGAATACAAGTCAATTTTTCTTTCATTGTCTTTTTACTGCAAATTTCCAACAAACAGGTCCAATCCTATATATAGGGCTCATATGAAGCCTTGAAAAAATATGAGAAAAATAAATAAATTTTGAGAACCTATCTATTAGTATTGCTCCTCTTCGGTGACGGATGGATTTCAGTTGGAGGCTTTTTCTCTTGAGGAAGCTATTTTGTTTTTATCTTAGGACGGATTATTAAAGAAATTCAGAAAACGTTTCAGGTATTTTTCTAGATTTTATTAATTTCGATTAATCTACATGATATGCAATTTTCCGCTGCTTTGTATGTTATGTTTCCAACAGATGAGCTGGAGGCTGAGTCAGCAGTAGTCCTTTCACGTGTCGGCTGGCGACTGGAGGAGATACTATTTCAATATGACCTCGATAAGGCCCTAGGATTGATTAGATGGCGTATGGCCGAGAATACGGCGAGGTGCTGAGTCGCACTTATCTTTACAGATAGCGGTTAGTGATTAGAGGGCGAGGCACTCGAGTACAGAAGGCGCCTCGATAACGTCCCAGGTTTAACGGATAAGGATAACGAGAAGATAGGCTGACCGATCTAGCCACTCATTGCTTCACAGATGGCAGCTAGCGACTGGAGAAAGATCGTCTGAGCTCAGAGGGTGTCTTGATTACGTCCCAGAAGTGACTTGGGAATAGATTGAGCCGCCTTTGCATTTAAGACTTCGTCAGAGTTTGAGACTTTTGAAGTGACTGATCAATACTGTGGTTGCTCGGATCTTTATTTTCCCCAGTTGGATTGTATTGGAAGGCGGGTTGTTCTCGTAACTTGTTGACTAGATAAGTGAGTCGATAGTCCAGTCAGATAGCTCGATAGACAGCCGAGTCGCCACTGGGGGAGTCGTCTCGATTGGGAGTTGGGTGGACTCCCGAGTAGTCACCTTAAAGGCGAAGGGCCGATTGCTTCCGCGCTTCGTGTTGGCTAAAGCGTTTGGCTTTTGGCTAGGCTTTTCAGCTGAGTCGATTTGAATTGTGACTCCATTAGGCTCAGGCTAAAGCGTTTGGCTTTTGGCTAGGCTTTTCAGCTGAGTCGATTTGAATTGTGACTCCATTAGGCTCATGGAGACAATCTTCTTTTGAATTGTGACTCCATTAGGCTCATGGAGACAATCTTCTAATCATTTTTGTTGATAAATGGTAGATTGCCATAACAGTTACTATTGCGGTTGAATTTCTTTCTTATGTGACGTGGCTATGACAGTGATTTCATTGTGAAAAAAAAAAGAAATGCGGCAAATATCTTAAAATCCCTTGAAATGAGTTGAAATGTGAGTTTTCCATTTCCGGTTTTTTTTTAAGGAAAACAACCAAACAGCCCCTTAGTTGCACCTGTTTGTTTCAATTATAATCGTATAGCCTCAATCATAACAATTTTGTAGCTTGGAATGAGATTTAATGTCAATTCAAGTTGCAAATCCCCGATGGAATTATGAAAATCTAAAACTTCAAAAAAAACACCCGTAACTATAACTACAGTTGCTACATGGCATAATTTTAAGACTAAAATCAAGCGACTGCACATGAGTTTCTAGCCTTTTGTTTCAAGCTCAAAATGTTTGGTTCAGCAAAGCTCATGCACCCAAATCCAAATGCTCCTTCCTCAAAATGGCATCATCATAGAGAGGAAGCAGGAGCATAAAATCCAAAAATAGCATCATCATATCATAAAAGAGGAAGCGGGAACATAGAATCCAAAGAGATGCGTCCAAAGCAACGCGACCCTTGCACGCAAAGAAAAAGAAAGAGAACTCAAAGATGCTGGATTTTGAAAGGAAAATGTACAGCAAGCAGGCCACCGTCAGAGCCCAGCTGTGAACAAATGGATCCAGAATCAAAGACGTCTCCTCTGGCTGACCCATGATTGAATTGATGGGAAAACTCACTAGATTAGACAGAGAAGAGGAGAAAGTCCGCGAAAGAAAGAGATAAAGAGGGTGATAGAAATTGAAAACACTTGGGTCAAAAGAAACACAAATAACTGACACTGGTGTACTTTCTATATGGTTAAATTATCATATTAGTATTAAATATAGTACCTAATAATTATATTAGTATTAAACTTATGCGATCATATGAATAGACCCAAAAATAAATTTTCCGACCATTTTTCCAAAGATTATTTAGATGATTTGACACGTGCTTAGATGATATATTTATAAGGACTTAACTACTACGGTTAGCCACATTCAATCCATCTCTTAGAATGAGGCATTTTTAAATTAGAGTAAAAGAAAAGATATATATATTTTAATTTGGGGCTGCTTCTCATTCTTCCTTCACATTAAGGGTTCTTTATTGCTTGGGCTTGAAGAATACATACTCTCAAACAATGAAGAATCCCAAATTTAAAAGAAGAAGGACAAGAAGCCCTACATTAAAAATCCCTCGTTTCTTTTACCCTAATTTGAAAATTCTCCACCTTTTAATGATTTGAATGAGGCTACCTATAGACCCTAATTTGAAAATTCTCCACCTTTTAATGATTTGAATGAGGCTACCTATAGATGCCGTGTTACTGTACATATGCTACATAAACATCACATAACAGATCCCATGAATAATTGCTAAAAAAATTGTCCCGAAAATTTATTTCTAAACATATTTATCTCATCGTGCAAGTTTAAATATATTATTATTAAAAATAATTTTAATATCAATTTGGTCATTGGTACTACTTTTTAACACATTGATTTAGCCCTTTCTATAATATAACATAAAATTTCGAACCAGCATTCAAAATGAAATAACACTTTCCATAAAGATAACTTAGCAGAATAGAAGAAGAAAATCTTAATGATGGTAGGTGATCGTGAACGGCAATATAGAGTTCCTATTAGAACTTATTTGGATCAAATAAAACTAAAATACAAATAATAAAATTGCACTCATCATTTAGGAATAGGAAAATATACAAAAGTGGACCTCACACCCCATCATCTCCCATGCCAACACCTCACATACTTAATATTCGTTGCAATTCACATGCAAATTTCTTACAAACATTATTTATAGAACTAAACAAAATCCTAATCCTAACTATCAGATAACATCAAATCACTCATCATAACAAAATAAGAGATTCATTCCCAACTAAAAAACAAACTCAATCCTAACTAAAAATATATGCCAAAAAAAAAAATCAAATCTTAAAAAAAAATCCTAATACAATAAGAACAATCTTGTTACCAAGATTCAGATTTGAATCTGTCCTGCATGTAGGCCTGTGCAACGACTAAAAGATCAAGCGAACATGTCTACAGAGTGAAATTAAATCAGCAACGTCCCAAGATCTATTTCCTGAAGGAACAAAAAGTAATTTCCTGGCCCCGTTTGGCAAAAGGTTAATGAAGAGGGGTTAAAGAGAAGGATTAATGTACTTAGCCCATTTGATAATCCGAAGGACTAAATTATTAACCCGTTAAATAAGTTTTATTTTAGTCCTTATGATCAGTTTTAGTGTTTGGGAATAACAATGATTTTGACTATTTTCTTTATAATTAGAATAGTGTTTGGGAATAACAATGATTTTGACTATTTTCTTTATAATTAGAAGGGTTAACTCTTATTCCATCGAAATAGGAGTATTAGTAAACCCCTCATTTTGAGGGGTTAACTCATTTTAACCCCTCTATAAGGGTTAACTTAACCCTTCTATATTTTTTATGTTTGGCAAATTATGGAGGGTTAACTCACTTTAACCCTTATATAGATTTGTTGTGTTTGGCAGGTTAAGAAGGGGTTAAGTCTCCTTAACCCCTCACTTAACCCTTTGCCAAACGGTACCTGAAGAAATAAGGAAATAGCGACGCTAACTACAAAAAACTTTAATCCAAAAAAGATTCAAAAATAGCAACCAAGAATATTTGTTTACAGAGCAAACAAAGCAGATAAATTCATCAGCTGACAATGAAAGGGAGTTAGTGCAAGTTCCAAGCTTGTATAAAGCTTCATTGGAATTTTAACCCATGCGCAAATCTACTATCATATGATACTGCAAAAACTACATAATATAGGACACATCGTAATAGTACATATATCATGTGAAATGTCAAACCATTCACAAATCTTGAGTTCATTGATGAGTCCGACAAGAGCTCAAATATAAACACACATAAAACAACACATTAAATAACGACAATAATCCCCAATGCATCGGGTATACCCAATGATCATTACAAATCCATCCACCATTCTGCTTCCTTAAATATAAAGAAGAGACTTACCTGTATGAATCTGGGCGTTTGGGTTTGCTTTGGACGACTGCTTCAATTTTCTCCAGAATATCCGGTGTCAGCCTGGGAATGACATCAATAGCCTTCATGTTCTCTACAATCTGTTTTCACGTGTAAAACAAAGTAACAAGTTTCAGCGTCAGAGACTAATAAGTCATTATGTATTAGAAACGAGAAGGCAAAAGTTTACACGTTTGTTCATTACAATATGTAGACTATGGAACACGAAGGATCCATTGAGAATATAAAGGACTTTTACAGCATCAAACAAGTTACAACATTAAATGACACCCAAAATCATGGCCTAATTCATCTACAAGATTCACTATGGATTAATCTACACGACCCGAAAGTTTTTTTTTAGCCAGCAGTAAAGAAGAAGAATATATCAGAATCATCACGCTATAGTCTATATGCATGATGAGTTAAATGGTAAAGAACATGCACCTGAGCCTCCTTTGTTGCCCCTGTAATTACCGACGAGACATGGGGATTTGATGCACACCAAGCAATGGCCAGTTGAGATAAAGGAACACCAAGAGCATCCGCAATGGGTTTCAGTCCATTGACTTTCCTCAGAGTATCATCAACGAGTGATCTACTCGCAAGATTCTACAAGAAATATTTCAGTTAGAAATTTAATACTTTTAACTTTCTTGCATTGAACTCTTTGCAATGAGGTTAAGATATAATTCTATTTATGATCGAACCTGTCCCCATACACACTGCAAATAGTGCATTTAAATGACTCACTGGAGGAAATATAAAAAGAACAATAAAAAAGTCAGAAAAGCAATAATACACAGGTCTGGATATGCTAAGTAAGATTTTCCTAATGTTCTGAGGGAACATCTGTTTTGACTGCAAGTTCTGCCACCCTGCCATCCCGAAACTTGCTGGCCACTCAACAAATAGTCCTAATAAATTATAACAATGATAGAATGAGTAAAACTGTTCAACTTATGACAGAAATTAACCTGACTTGACTTAAATTAATTAACTGCTCATTTTGTCCTAACGAAAAGCTGTACTATTAACTACAACATATATTCTTGTAAATTATACATAAGTAAATACACATATACACCTTTCTAATAATTTACTTCCAGGTAATAACTACGTCTATAGATATGGCTACGTCTACAGAGGAACACGACCAATTGGGTCAGAGTACAAAGAAGGTGAAGTGCCGACTTGAAGATCGATGTGAAAATGGTGAACCTATCGTCATGGAAACAGAAAATGGTGAACCTATCGTCATGGACACAGAAAATGGTGAAGTTTCAAGGAGAAAATGGTGAAGTTTCAAGGAATAAGGCTTCTAAACCTATTCCTAATGCATGGGCTTCCTCAACATAAAGGGCTTCCTTCATGACCAAGAGACCTACCCCGAAGATCTTCATGGGTGATGAGTCAGAGTTTATGCCATCTAAACATGGTCTTGGAGATCAATCAAATAAAGTTTCAGATATATCTATGGACCTTCCTGAATCCCAATCTGAGGGGCTATGGCCTAGGATCTCAATCCCACCTAACGAATAAGCTCGCCTACAACGGCCATGGTGCAAGGGTTTGATCCTAAAACTCCTTGGTAAGTCAATTGGCTTTAATATGTTGAGCCAACGAATCAAACAATTGTGGCGACCTAAAGGAGAATTATTTCTAGTTGATCTCAATCATGACTATTTCCTTGTTCGATTTTCACTAGAGGAAGGCTACATTCACACACTGCTTGCTGGCTCTTGGGTTATTCTAGGGCACTACCTCACGGCAAGTAAATGAAAACCTGAATTTCGACCATTGCGTGCTTATCCATTCTACTCTCTTCTGGTTTCAGTTGCCTGAATTACAGGTTGAGTACTTCAACTATGATGTCCTTCGCAAAGTGGGGAATGCCCTTAGCTGAACAATTAAGATTGATACAGGTACCGCTGAGGTTACGCGTGGTCATTATGTTGGGTTTTGTATTGAACTTAATCCTAAGGCCTTCCTTCACCCTTATGTCAAGATTAATGATAATCTTCAACATGTGGAGTATGAAGGCCTGCCTTCTATTTGTTTTTCTTTGTTTTTCTTGTGGTGAATATGGTCATATCTCTAATCATTGACTGAAAAACCCCACCGAAGCAGTGACAACTGCTCCAGTGCTCAAATTCCGATAAGAAAGGATGGTTGGGGGAGATTTTAGTAATCCCTACAAATCATGAGAAGATAGAGGCAACAAAAATGTATCCTTATGGATCTTGGATAGTTTGCTAAAAGACCCAAAAGAAGCAATAGGAAAGTGCCACGTGGCCAGTTAGCTTTTGACAAAGCGGCAAGTCAACTGTTTTCAAAGGAAGGCACCAATCAAGAAGAGCAAATAAAGGAAGCTAATGGGTATCATATGTTGGGAAACGAGATAGTAAATGAATCAATGGGCTCAAGATTTGCTGCTCTTGGAATGGAAGAGGCCCAAGAAGACCTAGTGCCTTTTGTTTTTTTATGAAGGGCCGAGTACTTTTTTGAAGATCCACACCTCTACTGCCACTACTATGTGTGGTCCAAACCAAAAGTATTTGCGGAAAGACCCAAAGTCATAAGTCCTCTAAATGCAGTAGCTCACATGAGTTCTAAATCAATTGCAATCGATGTTTTAAATGTCGGCCGTCATGTCGGACATGTCGAGCGACATGTCGGATTTAGGGGTCAACCGACATGATATGGGGTTTTGCAATGCTTATTGCGTTTTTAAGATTCATGTTGTATATATCGGAGGGCATGTCGGATATATCGGGGGACATGTCGGCTATGTCGGTCGGTTTTCAGTTTGAAAAATTGGCTGATTTTTTGGTTATGTTTGTCTAATCAGGTTTGTGTTTAAATTCCTCATTATCTTAATGTTCCTTCCAAAGAAACCCGATCAATTAGGGGAAATAAAAAAAAAGACCGAGGTCATTCTGTCGCGTATCTTCTTTCTCCTTCGACATCTCATGGGTCTATTCTTCGAGCTGTTCCTTCCACATTAATATTGTGTGATCTTCTCTCTCCTTAACTACCAATATCAGACTCCTCTTTTCTCGCCTCTTTCCTTGAACATCAACCCTAAGCATTATAAGTTATTTACTTTTTTTTATATGGTTAGACAATAAAATTTATTAAGTATATTTAGATTTTATTTATGATATTTATATTACACATATGTACACCATCCGAAATGACAATCCGATATATTTTTCATGTCCCCCGACAAATCCCTGATTTTTGCTATCCGACATGAATCTTAGTCATCCGATATGAACCCGACATCCAACGTTTAAAACCTTGATTGCATTCCGTAGTCATGGTCGATCTATCTCAAAGAAAAATTCCAACTAAGAAAAAAATCCTCGCTATTTTCCCCTTAGGCATCATCGCGCCTTTGTCCAACCCAGAAATCCCCATGAATCTCTCGATCATGGCCTTTGTTACGCTCTTAAGGCATTCAGACATAACGATTACAGTCATCCCTTCTTCGGCTATATCTCCTCTTGTGGACACTAACAAACAAGCGGCATCTGAGCCGAGTTGTTGATCAGGTTAGCCCCCTCAACAGAAACAAACCTGCCTCTTATCAACTGGAAGTCACAGACCTCCTCCAATTATAGTTTCTAATCACCCACAGGACCTTCCCAATAATCAACAACTAGCTCTGGGTATGCATGCACCTCTGCCTAAAGTCTGTAACCAGAGACAAACGGAGCATCACCCTCATATCGATGATGATCACAGAGATTTAGTGGTTATGGATAATGACAACTGCTCTGATAATCCCGATCGAGAGGCAGCCCAACAAAGTGAATGCATCACAAATGGGAAGAGTAATTCAAGCTCTAGTGGTTAGTTAGGTCCTATGATCACTTCAATTTAATTTCTTAATGAATTCCCTTATTTGGAATTGCCCCGATGCAGGTAATAATCACTTTTTTGTGAAATGTGACTGAATTAGTCCATATTCCTACTGTTTGTGATGGTTTTGCTAGAAATAAGGGTGGCAGGGGCGAAGGCAGATAAAATTATTCATAGTACCTTGTTTACTAATGTGGAAAATTTTGATGCTTAAGGTTTCTCGGGCGGCACCTGGTTGTTTTTGGAGGGAGGATACAGTTTCAATCACTGTTACCCAAACAACTGATCAACTAATAAATATCTTAATTGCGTGGAATGGAGAAGGTGGCTGGCAATTTTCAGCGGTCTATGGAAGCCCTAATCTTGTGCGTCGTGAATCACTATGAGGCCAATTGTGTTCAATCAGCAATAACACTAATGGTCCACAGATGGTGGCGGGAGATTTGAATCTAGTTACATCTTCAATTGAGAAACAAGGAGGCTCTCTTACTCTGTTGAGTCAAAGCAGAGGGTATTTTTCTTGTCTTGCAGAGTGCAATTTGATTGATTTAGGCTTTGTCAGGTCAAGATTTACTTGGTATAAGACTGTTGGTGGAAGAGTTGTTCTTAAGGAATGCTTGGATCAAGCTTTGGTAAACCCAGCATGGAGAAGTCATTTCGAGGAGGAAATAGTCCGTCACTTATCGCAAGCTCGCTCCGATCACTGTCCCTTGTTGATTGACTTGGTGGGTATGCATGTGCCACCTCGTCAAGATAGACCGTTTCGCATGGAAACGGCCTGGTTCACAAGAACTGATATTGAGCAAGTGGTGAATGAAGCATGGAATAGCATGGAAGCTAGCTCTCTCTCTAAGAGGATTAAACATATGACAGACGCTGTGATTAACTAGAACAAAATAATATTTGGTAATATCTTTCATAAAAAACGAAGAGTTCTTGCTAGAATTCAAGGGGTGCGAAAAGCTCTAGATGTGCGTTCTACACCTTAAATGGAGCATCTAGAGCGAGACTTAAGTTCAAAAATACAACACTCTTCTTGTTCCTGTAGAAATCCATTGGTTCCAGAAAGCTCAAGTGGATTGGGCTATAATTCAAGATCAAAATATGAAGTATTTCTACACAAAAACAATTATTCGAAGGAGGTAAAACAGAGTAGGAATGCTTCGAGATGATTTAGGGGAGTGGTGTTCTGATGAGAGTAAGCTCCGAGCCATGGCGGTTAGGTACAACAAGTCTTTATATACAACAGATATCTTGATCCAACATTCCTAATCTCTTGTGCACGGTTTCTCTATATTGATTCAAAAAAAAAAGGTGGTCACGTACTTTCAGAAGCGGAGGTTCGAGAAGCTCTATTTGAAATGCATCCCTTGAAAGATCCTAGACCCGATGGTGTTTATGTAGCTTTCTATCAAAAATTTTGGGAAATTACTAAGTGTAAGATAGTGAACTTAGCCCGTCAAGATCTCCTTGATGGTCATGTTCCTACACAAATTAACCAATCTCTCATTACTTTGATCCCTAAGCAGGAAGCGCCAGAGTTCATTAACCAATTCCATCCAACTAGCCTTTGCAACGTCATTTTTAAGATTATCACAAGGTCATTGTCAACTGGATTCATCCTTTATTGAATAAAAGTGTGGCTTCGATTCAGTCTAGTTTTATTCTAGGGTGCCCCAGTTAGCCCACTACAGATAACATTGTGATCATACATGAAATTATTCATTCACTTGCTCGAATAACAGGTCAAAAGGGAGTCATGATTATTAAAGTTGATCTCGAAAATACATATGATCGCATTCATTGGCCATTTTTTGAAGCAGTCCCCATGAGATTGGCTTTGATAATAATTTGGTGAATTTAATGATGAGCTGTGTTCACGATTCATCTCTCAGTCCTATGGAATGGGGCCAAGTCAGTGAGCTTTAACCCTACTAGGGGCATTCGACAAAGTGAACCACTTAATCCATATCTTTTCATTTTTGTATGGAAAAACTAGGACATTTGATCGATGAACAGGTAAACTCGAGAGTTTGGATCGCAGTTAGAACATCGAGGAATGGACCACTAGTGTCCCACCTTTTTTTGCCGATAATATATCACTTTTTGGTTTCCTTGAAGTAAGCTGGAATTATGGAATCAGTGATGAGATCCTTTTGTGCAGTTTCAAGGCAAAAAGTTAGCTTGGCCAAATCCAAATGTTTTGTCTCAAATAATATCAATTGACAACAAGCTGGTATCCTAAGTTCGCGACTTGACATCCCGCTAATCACGGATCTGGGTCGTTATTTAGGGGTTCCTTTATTGCACGGCCGAGTTACCAAAGCCACTTATCAATCTATTATAGAGAAGGTGCAGAAGCGACTTGCAGGGTGGAAGGATTCTTGTCTCTCCATGGTTGGGTGTCATACTATTGTAAAATTAGTCACTTCAGCAATTCCCTCTTAGGTAATGCAATTAACTAAGCTTCCTATGTTCATTTGTGAGAAAACTGATGCTTGTAATCAAATTTTTTTATCAGGAGGTTCAATTGACAAGAAAAATCCATATGATGGCTTGGGATCGTATTTACACTCTTGAAGAATGCAGCAGTTTAGGTCTTCATAAAGCATCAATAACCGATAAAGTTAGCATGGTAAAGCTCATGTGGCAGACGGTGACCAGTCCTTCTGAACTGTGGTCAAAGATTCTCCACGCCAAATACCTTAGTAGAAATTGTGCCACTTTTGACAAGCCTCAACCAACAACGTCCCATGTTTGGAGGAGTATTGCTTCAGGTTCAGAAATTCTTCTACAAGGTATGATGTGGCAAGTTGGTGATGACACTACGGTCTGGTTTTGGGAAGTTGCATGGCTAGCAGATAAGAATCTCCTTTACTAGTTTCATTGCCCAGGTGGTGAAAAAAAACAAACTAGTGAGGGATTATTGGAGGGAAGAAGAGTGGGACTAGTCACCTCTTAGCTCTTGGCTACCACTGAACGGTTAGCTAAGCTACGGAACATTATTCTCCTTTATCTAAATGAAGGGTCCGATAAAATTCATTGGAGTTGTTCTGGTAATGGAAAATTCTTATCATCATCGGCTTACGAGCTTAGGTTCTCGGACAACTTAAAATTTGGAAAAATGGGACACATTTTGGAAGTTGAAGTACTTGCTTCGAGCTAAATTCCTCTTATGGATTGCTCGTCAAACTGTCTCCTCACAAATGGGGCAAAAATGGTTTGCAATTTAGCTACTAAGGGAGGTTGCCCAAACTGCTCTCATGTTTTTGAAGATACCATTCATGTTCTTAGGGATTGTTCAGATGCAAAAAAGGGCTTGGATCCAACATGTTCGACCCAATTGTTGGGAAGTTTTTGGATGGATTGGAACTTGCAAGATTGGATGGATTGGAACTTATTGTCTAAAGGTTTCGGTTTGGTAGGCGAGGTAGCTTGGATGACTATATTCACCGAGGCTACTCGTAGTCTTTGCTTTTTGCGGAACAAGAGCGTGCACTGCAACCTTAGCTTTTGTCGCCTAATGCTGGTTATTTTATTTGTGATCTTGCAACAGAGATTTGGAGTACTTTGAGTAAGGATGAGGCAATGCAACAAAGAGCTAAAGCGCAAGTTAGTTGGACAGCTCCTCCGGAAGGTTGGGTAAAGTTAAATACAGTTGGCGCTTATAAAGGCAATCTAGGTGTTGCGGGTGCCGGTGGACTCATTAAGAATTCAGAAGGCTAATGATTGGTGGGCTTTACTGATAAGTTGGGGTTCTCTACAAGTATGAGAGCTAAGCTATGGGCAATTTGGAAAGGATTGATTGTGGCCTGGGACAAGGGCTATCGATAGGTTTGGTTGGAAACAAATTATCAAGTGCCGTTGAGTTTATTGATTTCATTTGAATCTCTTGATCAAAACTTTAATATTCTTCGGAAAGTTTGTTGATGCGCGAATGGGAATGTAAGGTTTATCATATTTGGAGAGAGCAATCGATGTGCGAAAAGTTTGGTGATGCGCGGGGTGAGACGGATGCTAGTAGACGACGCTAGGCGCATTGCTCTTCCCAGATCGGTGTCTCTAACTTAGTTATTCTTCCCTTGTTGCCAAAACATTAATAAAAATAAAAAAATACACACATATTCAAATGGATAGCTGTATTCCATACATTGTGTGAGTTTATGCATGCATATAAGTGTACGAAAATATGCACTTTATTAAAGAATAAGCATCCATAAATTGTAGAAAAATATTAATATTTAAGAGTGTCTCATTAATATCTCAGAATACATGTGTATCGAAGATTATAGAGAAATGTACTGAATTCACATTGCCTTACTTGATTTGTCTAGCACTAACAATGACAAGATAAACAACATTATAGCAAATATTATGAAAGTGAGAACTGTGAATTCGAGGAGGTTAGAAATATGAAAATTTGTTTACTTGACTGCATATACTTCACCTACCATACAAGCATGCTCACTAAGTCTTATAATGTGATAGCAAATTGGCACAAACATTGAATTGGCTCCAATTATATGTCAATTTATATAGATTGATAATACGTCAGTTAATTAGCACTTGATGTAGTGACAAGAAAAAAAAGACACCTTGTAATTCTCCAAAGCAAACCGACTATCAGGTGGGATATTTCCTTTGTTATATTTCCCTGTAAGAACACCTGATGCCAGTGGACTCCATGTCGTCAGACCAATTCCATAGTTGCTGTAAAGAGGTAAATACTCAACTTCAACCTGCATCAATATAAGAAGAAATTATTGACTGGGAATCTTCTTGGCTATTGTTACTGTAAAGAAAACTTGCATGCCATTTGGATCAGCACCAGATTAAATGTCAGCAAAAGACTACTAATTCAAGCAAAAAATTAAGCACTCAACAAGGAAACAACACACATCTTATCAACATTTTTTTAATACTTCCTTTGAATCATTGAAGTTTTCATCCATTGATCTAGTGAATTCCATAACAATGTTAAAGTTATGAGAGAAACTCAATCCTCTAGTGTTTTGGTTCAAGAAGGTAAACGATTCTTGCCTCCAAAGCTACGTTCTAAGACAAACACACCGCTGGCCTAGACAGAACTATGATTTACCTGATGACAAACAATAAAGAGTGGCCTGTTTTCTACTCTCTATGGTACTCCTTTCCTTTGCACTTTTGAGTCCCTTCAACTAGTGCTTCTACTATTCAGATACAGCCGTATGTATACCCAGCCCAATATCAAGAAAGATCTAATCTTTTATGAACTTGAGACTTACTGATATTTAGGATTTTATGTTCATGAAGAATGCTTTGATTTCACAATCAAATAACAAGTTAAATTAAAAAATAAAAAGTAAAGGTTAATAGGGTTTTTCAGATATTGGTCCCCAAATCTCATCAGTTCTAAAAGAAAAGGCTCAAAAACATGATCCCAAAACCCATTAGAGATCCCAAATAGCCTCTCTAATTTAAATATGTTTGCTTAACCTCAAATGCAAGTGAAGACACTTAGTTCATTTGTTTTCCTTAATAACTGTCTTCAATTGCACCTCTAATGGTCATAAAGGTAACGACTCTTCTAAACCCATTAAGATGAAATACAGAATCTTGGTTTAAAAAAAACCAGGCTGGCTGGATTACTATGTTGGTAATCCATCCTTTTTCTCAAAAAAAAAAAAAAAAACCAGGCTGGCTGTTTTTGTGCAAAAACAACTTTGAAGTGTGTTTAGTGTAGGAACGATTTTGTAAGTGTCCGTGTTTAAAACTAGGGTTCTCCCAATCTTTATTGTGTCAATGCAAATGGAAAATTGGAGGAAACAGCCCACATATCTCAACATAAATGTTCCCAAACAAGTGCTTTTCTTATATAGCTCAACATAAATGTTCCCAAAGAAGGGATTTCCTGATATTGGCCCCCCAAGTCTAGTGAATTTAGAACAAGTCAGTCCAAAATATATAGGGGAAAATTAAGAGTATTCGTGGTAAATAGTTAATAGAGATGAGGGTATAAACAAAAGTTTAGTAATAAATTAACAAATTATAAACTGAGAGACTAATTTTAACAAATGCTTCAACATAACCGTTCACAATATGAGTTTCTCTGATATCGGTCCTCAAAAAAAAACCTAACTACTTTTAACAAATAGTCACAGTTCAGAATATAGAAAAAAAAATAAACAACAACGTTTCCATTAAGCTAGCGATTAACTTAATAAATTCTAACGTTTAAAAAAAACCCTAATCTGATCAATTTTACCTTGTGCCTCGACAACAAATTATACTCCGGCTGCTCGACGATCGGCCCAACAAGATCCAGCCTTTGAGCAACCGCCCAAGCCTCAGTAATCTGCTGAGCGCTCCACTCGCTCGTCCCCCAGTAAAACGCCCACCCCTTATCAATCACGTAATTCATCGCCCTCACCGTCTCCTCCATCGGCGTGGCCCGTGGCCGCATCCGGCCGATGGCAATACAGCACGTCCACGTAATCCATGTCCAGCCTCTTCAGCGACGCCTTGGTCCCCTCGACGATGTGCTTCCGGGACAAGCCCTTGTCGTTTGGGCCGGGCCCACCCCAGAAGATCTTGGTGGTGATGACAAGATCGGACCTTTTCCAGCCCAGCTCGCGGATCGCTTGGCCCATGATCTCCTCGGCGCGGCCGTTGGCGTAGACCTCGGCGTTGTCGAAGAAGTTGACGCCGTTGTCTCGGCAGAGTTGGAGGAGGGATTTGGCCTCCTTGACGTCGAGCTGGTTGCCGAAGCTGACCCAGGCTCCGTAGGAGAGCTGGGAGACTTTGAGGCCGGATCGGCCTAGGTTTTTGTACTGCATCGTCTTTTTCCCCCTCCTAGGGTTAGGTTTAGGCTCTCTCTCTCTCTCTCTCTATTTTTTCTTTCTTTTTGTGGGGTGGAGATCTGAGGCCTGGAGTTCTGAAGTGAGCTGTGATGGGTTTATAAAGGGGATGGGAGGACGAAGGCAGGGGAGTAGTCACGTGGTGCGTGTTCGGGTGATGAGGAATCTAGAAATATTTTTTCCCCGTTCTTTTGCTGTATATGTGGGGACCACAATGCATGGTTTCTGACAGAAAAAGGTAGTATATTTGAAAAATTCCTAATGACCCAAAATATAGGACTAATAG